GGCGAGGCTTTTCCTCTGTTTGCCAAAGTATATAGAAATGCAAAAATGCTTTTAAAGGAAGCTTGGTCCAATGGTCAGAAGTTGATGAAGATAGGGTATAGACTGGACACTAGTTGTCTTAAGCACATCGGTTTGCTGATTATAGTACACTTGCTAATAAACGCAAGATGAGTATATTGAAAGTGACATACCAGGTAATACATTGAGGGTGAGGAAGGAGGTAGAAAGTTGAGTAAAAACAACGATAGAGTGAATGAGAGACTGAGCAGCCCACTCAACTTTCCAGTTGGGTGGGGCTTCATTTCGTATGCAAGTGCATGAAGAAGAGATTCTTAGGTCGATCTTACCAGAAGAGGATGGGTGAATCCCGTTGCACTGTAGTCGTTTGATTCTTATACGACGTTCAGGTTGACGTAGCCCACAAGACCTCCTCCTTTGTTTCGTGTAGAAACGGGCTGAGCTTTTGACCATCATATGATGGACATCATCATAGCTGGGTCTCATTCCTGAAAAAGTATCACGTCAACAATAGGGCTCTAGCTTACCTCTCATATAGATTCAATTATGCAAAAGAAAATTAAAAACCTAGATAGATATGGAGTGGTTTGGCTAATTATCTTTCATACTGGTCCAGCTACTTTTGCTTTGTGTGTGTGTGTTAGCGTCTATACGCAATACCGGTCTTTAATTAGAGTTAGCAAAGGGCTAATGTCAGGTTCTGATCATCAAGGCCTAATGGCCCAAGAGAAAGCCCTGAACGAGACTGCGTAAGTCCGTGAGCAAGTATGGTTGAGATAATTAGATATGAGCTTGTATGTAAGTCAAGTTACGAAACCACTCGTCCAACATGTTAGATTAAACTCACCAACCAAACCTGACGAACCAGATTACGCAGCCTCAGTCATGCCTTCCAAAGATGGGTTAAACGTTAATGACCCTAGACTGAGAGGTTAGGACAAATGGTTTCGTAACTTGACTTACATACTTACAAGCTCATATCTCATTATCTCAACCATTCTTGCTTACGGACTTACGCAATCTCGGTCAGGACTGTTTCTTGGTTCATTAGGCCTTGATGATAAAAGCCTGACATTAGCACTTTGATAACTCTCATTTAAGACCGGTATTGCGTATAGACGCAAATACACACACACGCACATATTCAAGCAAAAGTACCAGGACCTGTATGAAAGATAATTTGCCAAGCTACTCCATATCTAGCTAAGTTTTTAATTTTATTTTGGCTCAATTGAGTCTATATAAGAAGTAATATAGAAACGGATAGTGTTAAAGTGAGTCTTTTACAAGAATGGCACCCAGCTCTGATGATGTCCATCATATGATGGACGAAAGCTCAGTCCGTTTTCATCCGACAGGAGAGAGGTCTCGTGGACTATGTCAACCTGAACGTCGTATACAAGCAAAAACGGCTGCAGTACAACGGGAATCATCCGTCTTCATCTGGTGAGATTGACCTACGAATCTCTTCTCTATGCACTTTTATACAAAAAGAAAGTCCCCCCAACAATCTCAAGGGATTCATCGAAAACCAGTTTCTCTTCGTATCAACTAAACAGGTCAGTGATGGTTCTAACCTCAGATTC